TCCTCCTGTATCTTAACTGCCAGGCCGGGGGGGGGGGGGGGGGGGGGGGGGGGAGCCTACTCATGTTCATGTTGTTTCCTAGATTACTACCTTTCTTGTCATAAGCTTTACCCGGATTCTTTACAAATTACAAAATATCACACCCTTCATATCTATGCACAGATCAGCATTAAGAGGTGCGAGGGAGGTGTCTTTTATCCTGGTTTTAATCTGTTTTCTTATTTGCCTTTCCCAGGCCTATTTATACCACATATGCTGGTTTTATTTGATTCTCAGGGAAGCTGGAATTTAGGCTTAAAGACAGCTGGAAGATCAGGCCTCACTACTGATAAGACCCACCCAACTTTGTGCAGTTCATATAAATGTTTGAAAAACAAAGACATTAAATGAGAAAAACAAGGAAACTGGAGTTTCCTAGAGGGCAAAGTGCCTTCTCCATCTTTCTGCTGCCCAGATGGCACACTTGACACTGGGCAAATTAACCTCTTCTCTGAGTATGATTAATGGTCCGAGCCAAGCAATTGGTGGTCTCTCTTAGAATACTTAGACCAGAGTTCACGTATGGGCTCAGCTTCCTCACAGAGTCCCTGTCCCTATCTTCAAGAACCCTCTTCCTATAAATTGTCTATAAAAAGGTCTCTGACAGTGGGGCACAAGCAACTCCCTGGGGGCATCTTCCATGTTTGCAGAACCCTCATCTCACCCACTTCGACCTCAAGCCCCAACTTTGTCTAATTTCCTCCATTCTTGAAATCCTGCATTCATCATGAAATTTGATTACACAGCAGGCACAGGCTTCCTGGTGCCAAGACACACGTGCTCTATCCCCTAAAATTCAGAGTTTAAGAAGGGTTCAAGACAAGACAAACACAGTGTAGGAAAATCAGCCCTGTGAGGTAGAGGAAGGTGGGGTGCAAGGCAAGAATGGAGAAAGAAGAGACCCCCAAAGAATGCGGAGGTGGGATAGCTAACTTTTCTTCTTGAAATGGGGATTTGCCAATGCTTCCTGGACGTGATACTGTAGAAGGTTTTTGTTCAACACAAGGAGGAATTAGGGGCTAGGAGAGACAGTACAGTGGTTAGGGCACTTCTTTGCACAAGGCCAACTCAGGTTCAATCCCTGGCACCACATATGGTCCCCTGAGCCTTGCCAGGAGTGATCCCTGAGTGCAGAGCCAAGAGTAATCCTTGAGCACTATCAGATTTTGTACACACACCCCCACCCCCAGCCAGGTGGGAGTTAATCTAGCACTGTTCTAAAGCAGATCTTCACCTTGAACCCACTGCTTTGGTGCCAGATAGAGCAGCACCGTCAGACCCCTTACTGAGCGGCTAAACACAAAACACTGCTCACTGGACAAAGGTGTATGGATTTTTTTAAAAAAATATAGATATATTATAGTTTAGGTGACATAGTTACAATAGTGTTAAAATTTATGATTTAGATGTACAGATACTGTACCTTACCAGCCCCAAAGTAAAGGCATATGATTCATATATTCTAGGCTCTCCCATCAAAAGTGTCCTTAGTTTGAAAATTCAAGAGTTCTAACAGTGAAGAGACCTTTGAGGGAGGAGTTCATTTTGGATTCCCTAAGGCCTAATTGTAGATTAATGGAGTATTTGTGATTGTAAAATAAACCGAAAAAAATCTTTTTCTTTTTTCTTTTTGGGTCACACTCAGCAATGCTCGGGGGTTACTCCTGGTTCTGCACTCAGGAATCACTCCTGGCAGTGCTTGGGGGACCATATGGGATGCCGAGGATCAAACCTGGGTCGGCCATGTGCAGGGTAAATGCCCTACCCGCTGTACTATCACTCCAGTCCCCAAAGTTTCTTAATACAAAGGCTTCCTAGTATCTGGTTTCAGCCTGATTTGAAGTAGTCACTTTAGAGTCTCCAGGTAGGATCAGGTCTAGTAGGTCAATCTCCAAATAATCTCTTCAGGCCACTGGAGCATGTGTCAGAAGTATCACAGAGCATTCAATGTACCTCAGTGGGACCTTTGGCCAAGAGCCACCTTGGGATCTGGCTGATGGCTGATGTCGGCAGCTGCTAAGGGCACTCAGCTGCGTTAGATAGGACCCAATAGTCATGAGAGTTGGTTAATACTTCCTGGGTAGTCATGGTCAGAACCAGAACTTACCTGAGTCATTGCTTAAAAAATGTTTATGAAATATCTATTGTGTACAAAGCACCTGCAGATTCATTTTTTTCTTCTGTCTTAAGTCTTATTTCTCAGGTGACCAAGAATTGAGTTTCTCTGTTCTTCAAGCCTTTTTCCAGAGCTATTTTCCAGGAAGAATTGTAGAAGAGAAAATGTACAAAATATCACTAAAAAGGTTCAGAGCACAAGCCTCCATAGTGAGGCCTTGGGTGTTAATCCCAGCACTGCGCTCCATTCAAATACTTAATATCACTGAGAGAATGTGTTATCTTTATAAGCAGAAAACAAATATAATATCAAAAGATGACACATCTGGATTTGGGGTGAGTCAGAGAAAATGCTGAGATTATTCGCATTTGAATGTCTTATTTGCTTCTATTGCTCCTAGCTGCTGGATGCAGGCACTGCTCCAGGCTGCACATTCAGGGGGAGTTTCCAGAGACGGCTGGGGGACCTTGAAGTGCCTGTGACTAAACCCAGGCCTCATGGATACAAAGTACATACTCCAGCTTCTTGAACTATCTACTCAGCCTGAACTGGAAGCTTCAGTGGGAGACCATCTTCATCAGTCCTCAAATGCTTTCATTTGAGAGCCCCCACAAGGATTTGTGAACTGGTTTATTGGATTAAGCTTTGGGTTTTTTTCTCCATGCAAAGAAAATATACTAAAGAACAAATAGAATAGTTTAGTTACTCATTGCCTTACTCATCACCCATCCTAGACATCTTCTCAGAACAGAGCTGGAAATTATTCACAGAAATTAGAACTTTTTTTCTGAGACCACAAATGCACAGAGCTAAATAAATCACCAAGTCAAACTGCATATTGCAGCTCGAAATTTTCCTCACCAAGACTTGATTACACAAAGGAGTACACAGCTTAGACTTGACAACACAGAGAAGTATGTGGATTTTTAAATTTGACTGTACTATGAACCATGTTGCCACCTCAGCATCTGATCAAATATAGCTTTGTGTGGAAGCCTGAAAACTAGTGCTGTGCTTCCAGATGGAGGACCTAAACCATGGGGACCCTGAACTTTCTTTAAAAATCATCATGTATAAGGGCTATTGAAATAGCACAGGGGTTAGCACCCAAGTTTTGTTCCCCATACCACATGGCCCCTGGCCATGATAGGTGTGGCCCTGGTGGTCCCGCAGTGCCCTGGCACCAGCACCTCCTTGGACTCTTGCACTTAACTGCCAACTCTGTTGACCAAGAATTTCTTGGAGTGGCCCCTTGGGCCCCCTTCCCCCCCTCCCCCCAAAAAACACATCATGAAGAGAAATTCTGTTTGGCATGATAGTAAGCCTCATGGGGCCAGAAAGTGTCCCCAAATGCTCATTTATAAAGGGCCTCGGCAATTTATCAGGCTGCTTATTAAAAAGGGGGCATTTTACTGGCCATCAGCTCTGCTTACATTGATATATGTTAGGTGTCAAGGAACCTAACACCTGCTCACAGTCCTGCCTCCATGGATCCAAACCCCACTCCCAGGATGAAGCAGCTGAGAACAGCACAGGCCCTGGGAGAATTTGTAGGAGAAACCCACAAAAACACCAAAATGATCTAGGGGGCTTGACAGAGAATGAGACTTTGGGTAGAGGGTCACCTAACCCAGACAAGTCCCAAAGAGGGCAGCCTGGTGGCTCTAGAGCGTTTTGGTAGAGTAAGTCAGGGGGAGGAGGCAGCTCTTTCTAGCTCCAGGTTCACACTGTCCTGTGTGGTGCCTCAGCCAGCTCAGCTCACAGAAACCCTGGCACAGCCGCTCACACTGACCGTCATCCATTGCTTCTGGACCAGTCAGTGTCTGGATCCCAGAATGAGTCTTCCTGTCCATGAGCAAGAGCTGGTTGGAAGGCCCTTAGAGACACCTCCGTGTAACAGTTTTATTTGTAAAATTTTTTTATGAGCTCTAAAATGCGCGCGCGCGCGCACACACACACACACACACACACACACAGAATAACTCATTTTCTGTCATTCAGGAAAATATTATTGCATCTTGGAGCTTGATAAACCATCTCAGCACACTTCTTTGTGCCCCAGTTGTCATTAGTTACCTGCTTATTTTCCTCTATTCCGCCCTCCCTCCCTGCTCCCCTCCCCACGAGATTAAGAAAATAAAGACAATGACGGGGGGGGGGGGTGGAATCTAGAGTGTCTCCGAGGGCTGTGCAGACTGCTGCAGGAACGAGACACTGAAACTGTTTTCTCCTGCAACTAACTACAAAGTCCTTAAGGAGACCCTCGCGCCCCGAGGGGCGGCAGCCAGAGGGCAGCACTGCGCGGCGGGATGCGGGTGCGGATATGGGTGCGGGTGCCCTGCAGAGGCGTTTCCAGAGATTCACTCCCGGGTCCCCATCCTGGGTCCCCTCCTGGATCCCCCCTTGGGATCCCCCTGGGTCCCCTCCTAGGTCTCCCTCCTGGGTCCCCTCCTGAGTCCCCCCTTGCATTACCCCTGGGTCCCCTCCTAGGTCTCCCTCCTGGGTCCCCTCCTGGGTCCCCTCCTGGGTCTCCTCCTGGGTTCCCTCCTAGGTCCCCTCCTAGGTCTCCTCCTGAGTCCTCCCCTGGGTCGCCTCTTGGGTCTCCTGGCCCGACTCTCAGTCCTGGCCGTGCTCTCGGCAGAGTCACCCCCCTCTGTCCGGCCCCGGTTTCCTAGCGGCGAGCTCGCACCCCCGGCCCAGGCTCCCGAGACCCCGCAGCGCGGCCCGCCTCTGTCCCCAGAGCGCCGGAGCCCGGGCGGAGGGACGCCCCTCCCGCGTTGAGCGCCCTGGTCCGGAGTCGGGCCGGTGCTGAGAACAGGACCCCCCAGACCCGGGTCCCACCTACCGCCGTCCTCGGAGACTCCCGTCCGACTGCGGGGTGTGCGGCGACTCCCGGGCCGTGGGTTGGAGCGGCCAGGATGCCCCGCCGCGGGGCGGGCCGCCGGGGGGCGGGGGGCGGGAGGGCGGGGAATGGAGCTCAGGATGCTGCGGAAACGCGGGCGCTGGGCCAGGTCACCCGAGCACGAGGGCATGGGGCTGGACCTTATCGTCTGTCCCCTGGGTCTCCAAAGCCTCTGTCACGCTCCTCAGTGAACATAGGGCTTTTCGGAACACAGAACCCTAAAGAACTCTGTCCACGATGGTGTGTGGCTATGTTCTACACAACTTCGCCTGAAGTCTGTCACTAGCCAGTCGTCCCAAACGATGGGGCTTTCCGGGGGGGGGGGGGGACCCCGGGTTTGATCCTAGAGGGGAGTGCTCCTGGAACACACAGCCTGCTTGGTTTGGTAACCTTGCAGATTGACGGAGAGAAGCGGTTTGGTGCAGGAGGAAGGAAGGCTGAGGCTTAACCAGTTCTCTCGGCGATGAGGATATGACCTCAGCCAGGGGGTTTGAACTGCGCCTGAACTCTGGAATCTGGAGATGCGTAGAGACTAGAGCAAGACAAAGCACACGGCCTCTGGCCCTCCTCAGGCCCACAGACAGCACCGGATAGTGGAGACGGGTAGTCTGCTGAGCCCATGCATGCCAGTGGGAGGGAACGGGAGGTCGGCAGCGGAAATCATGCAGAGAGGTCACGTTTCATCTGTCCTGATCCAAATTGTGCTCATTTTTGGCAAAACCATAAGAAATGATTTAAAGGTAGGAAAATGGCCAAAATCTAGTTGTTTTTCCATACTTTATCATTACTTGTAATTCTGCAGACAGTTACAAAGAGGGGATAAAGAAGGAGTGAGGAGTGGTAGCAGAGGGTGTCCAGACCAGGGAGATCTCTTTCTCATCACAGGACACTGTTGGTGCTGGTGGTCCCTGAGGGACTTATGTGAAGCAGAGAGGAGAGAGACAGTCACTTTTCCCTGATCCACCTCTGCCACCCCGGTGCCGGCGGGGAAGGCTGGACTGAGAGTCTGTAGAGACCCTGTGGGAACTGACCAGAAGCCCACTTGTTCTGCTCCGCTTGGGACTTCTCCAGGAGCCATGGACTCACTCAGGCTGGAGCAAGGAACTGCTGTTTGCAGGGAAGAAAAGCCAGTCCTAGTCCTTTCCCAGGCCTTTCGGGTTCTTGCCTTCTTGCCTTCTTACAGAGAAGAATTTCAGGTGGAGATGAGCAGTGACGTAAAAACAGATTTTATATGGAGGTTTCTGAGGAAGCGGAAGGAAGGAGAGAAATAGAGAGCAGCACACTCAAGAGAAAACACAGGCTCCTCCAGGGCAGAGCGATGCCCTGCACTCATCCCAGCATTAGACGGGAAAGCACACATCTCAGAGGGAGATGCGGGCAACACATGTGCTTGGGCACCACATTGACCACGATTCATGGACAGAAGCAGCATCTGAGCTCAGGCAGCATAAGTGTGTGCTTTCTTCATTCAAGCTGGCTTTTATTTTTATTTATCTTCTTAAACTTTTATAAAGTTGTTCATAATGATTTATTACATTCAATATTCCAACACCAATCCCACCACTATTGCACCTTCCCACCACCATTATTTTCAATATTCCCTCAAATTGGTTTAACAGGTTTCTCCCAAGCTGCCCAGTAGAGCTTTTTACCTAGATTAGACTCTGTTGTGAGGGAGGTTGCCAAGGGAGTAGAGTTGGGATTAGTTGGAGGTCTTCTTTGAAATTCTTTTCCTTCCCTTTGTTTCTGCTGAAGCTGCACTTGAAGGAGAGAGAATGTGTGTGGGGGTGGTGGGGGGGGGGAATGTTCAGACTTCCCTGCTCCAATGCTGGTTCCAGATAAAGGTCTTATCAGGCCTTAGTTCCTGTGTGCAGAGGTGGGTTTTGACAGCCTTAGGCCTAGTGGTGTTATTACTTCCCAGAAATTCCATTGCCTTGGGGGCCCTTTTCCATCTCCTGCCTGCTTCACTTTGATGTTGATTTTGGGGTTAGGGATCATGCTGGTGGTGCTCAGGGGCTACTCCTCACTCCAGCATCACTCTTGGCAGTGTGTGTTTGTGTGTGCGTGTGTGCGTGTGTGTGTGTGTGTGTGTGTGTTGGGGGGGGAGGGGCGGTGCTGTGCATTCAGCCCATGGTGCTCTTTCTGACCCATCTTTGATGTTTTGGTTCAGCAGAGATGGAAGGATGGTGGTAGTGAGACTGAACAGTGAATTACATTTAAATACCTGGATAACATCAAGGTTGCAGCGTGGATATGGAATTATAAAACTAGACTGAGGCAGATGTGACCAAAAGGAGTTAGGGACAGACCTTTCCCCACCCTCAGAGCCACCTACAGTTACACTCATGGGAAGGAATTCCCTTAGGCTCTAAATCCCAGTAAATTCAAGTGTGGCCAGTTCAACAGGAGATTCAGAGGGACATTCACAGGTATTCCTGAGCTTGGCTGAAATATACCTGAATGACTGAGACCACTTTATACCTTGGATGAAGAAACTGGGGCCTTTGTGTTGCTAGTAAATGTGAGGAAGTTTTCCCTTTTACAGACCTGGAATGTCCGAGTGGGAGAGGCAGGTGTAAGGAGGTGAAACATTGGCAGACATCAGTGGGAGGCCCTGATTTCAAGCAAGGGGTTGCGGGGAGGTGAGGTGCAGTGCAGCATGAAAAAAATCTTAGTGAAATCACATCCTGGGAAAATTCTATTAAAACCCCTATCTTTCAAGAAAGAGGAATAAAGCCAAGCCCAAATAAGAGACCAAGTTGGCACAAGGAAACTTGTTCCTGCTGCACATTCCCATGAGATGGTATTTCTGTGGTGGGCTCCTCCCCCACAAAGTTATGAGTCACAGCAAGGAAATAGAGGAGGCTTATCACCAGGTGGAGAAAGGCCCCTGGCCAGAGAACCAGGACCAGGCTGAAACCCTGTTAGAACCACGTCAGCTGAAAAAGGATGAACAAGAGGCTTATTATAGCCTCTTAAGATAATTAAGAACAGAGGAAAAAGATTTGTCTATCATCTAGAAAGGTTTTTGGGCTTTGTTTTTTATTTGCTTGTTTTGAGGGCCACACTAGGTTGTGCTCAGGCCTTACCCTTGATTCTACACTTAGGGATCACTCCTGGAAGGGCTCAGAGGATCTTGTGGGGTGCTAGGATCAAACTCCCTGGATGTCTACATGTAAGGCAAGCACCCTACCTGCTGTATTTTCTCTCCAGCTCCACACCTGGGAAGTTTAGATTTGGCTAGCTATCTGACTTTTCAAAGGACAGCATAAATATCATAATGGATTTGAAATTGGAATACACTGTCAAGGCCTTCATCCACTACTAGGGACCATCCACTGATGATCGCAAGCATGGAAAAGAGACAGGTAGGATAGCATGCATGCTGGAAAATGCCTAGAAATGGTTGCTCTTGTTGAGAATCATTCATGATATTTCCTTGTACTATTCCTGCAATTCTTCTGTAAGTTTGAAATCACTTTGAAATAAAAGTGTAAAAAGGTAGTTTTTTTCTGGGAACAGTAATTCTACTTCTAAGTCAGCTCAGTGAAGCAAAAATCTCAAATCCCCACACAAAAACCCTATATGTGCAAAACACTATTTCAACTATCTAAAAAAAGAAAACAGCGTTTCCAAACAGGACACAACAGGGCAATATCATGCAGCCATTCTGGTGACTGGTAATTATGCCAGATATCAAAAAACAGATCCTCAAATTGCCTTATCCAAAAGAAGTATAAAACAACTGATGACATGCACTGCACTATACACTAAGCACCACATCTAGGAATGGCTAAAGATGGGAGAGAAAAATCATTGGAGCACTGTCTTTTTTGAGATTTTTTTTTCAACTTCCTTCTCAACACTTTGAAGTTGCTTTGGTAAAGGAGAGTCCCTATCTCCACTCTCAGGTGGCAGTTGTCTCTCACTCAGATGCTAGAAGGAAGAGCCTGCCCCGAGGACTGCTTCAGAGAGCAGGAATTTTCCTTCTCCTGACAGGGAGTTATTCATAAGCACGTTCAGGCATCTCTTCTTTATGTCTCACTTCATTCTGTTCCTTTGCAGGATAAATGAGTTTCTCAGTTGGGCCTCCCAGTTCTTCAACAGGATGTTCTGTCCTTGCCCTTAAGCTCTGAGGTAGAAGTCAGAGCCGCCTTGCAGCCTTGCATCCACCTGTCCTGCCTGAGAACTGGATTGCTCAGGGAAGTCATGCAGCTATGAATCAGGAAGTTGATTCTGTCTTTCCTTAGCCATGAATTGTGTTTTTCTGTGGCACTCAGTGCACCTCTGGCTTTAGTTTCCTTGTATATCAGATGAAGTGAAAACTCTTATATTTGATATTTCATGGTGCAGCTTGGATAATGGCAGTGAAAATGTTCTGAGGCAAATGGTATGCAATTGGTAATTTAATATGCCATTATAGAATTTTTTGTGGCTTTGACTTTTTCCTGTATCTATCCTCAAGTGGAAGACTTTTCTTCACAGAGAAAGCCTTTTTCTCTTTTCTGGGAGATTCTGAGAGGGACCCCAAGGTTCTAAAGCATCTATATTAGATTTTCTCACAGTGTGTTAAAAACAATAATACCATCACCCAAATACATGTACTGCCTTGTATCTTGTATGACACATTGTTTTTAAAATTAAAAAACTCATTAGAAAAAAATATATACGCGTACTATATATGCATGTGTATGATATTTTAAATTTTGTCATACCAAGTGCAAGATAATAATGAAGGAAACTGGAGTGAGTGCAGAAAAAAGGTGACGGGGAACACAACTTTGTATCAATTTTTCTGTAAACTTAAAACTTCTGAAAAGAAACCCATTAGAACCAGAGTGATGGTACAGGATGGAAGCACTTGGCTTGCATGTTGTTGATGTGGGTTCAATCCCCGACACTATATATGGTCTCCTCAGCTCTGCCAGGAGTGATTCCTGAGCACAGAGTCACGAATAAGTTCTGAGCACTACCAGGTATGATCCCCCCCAAACAAAAACAA